CATAACTTGTTACTAAGTTTCAAATCGAATCGTCTTAAGTAATATCTCTATCAAGACAACTTGCACATTTCGATCTCTCTCTCTATCTCTATCTCTTTCTCTGTATAATTAATATACAAATACGTATATATATATTAATTATTGGTTTCCTATAGATACGTGTATTTGAAATATTATTTATTAATATAGAAAGGAGAGAGAAATTCTCTCGATGAAATTCCATTGAGATCTACTAATGAGATAGAAGATAATTAACTATGACTAAACAATGCTACTAACAGTCAGTGCATCCTGTCTTAAGTAATAACTCAACTAAGACAAATTGCACATTTCCATGAATCTCTCTCTCTCTCTCACACACACACATATATATATACACATTCACTCTATCTTATTCATGTACATATGTAATTATTATTAGTTCCCTATAGGTACGTGTTTGACATTTGTTAACATCGAAAGGAACGAAATTCCATTGAGATCTAACTAATGAAATAGAAATCGTTACACAAGATAATTTACTATGATATAATAGTGTATTTCATCTTAACACATTTATTTATTGACGTTCTAGTTAAAGATTTTATTTTATCTTGGCAGTGTTTATTGGCCGGTATTCTATTTTGATTGTATTTTTTTTTCTCTGAAAAAATTGTCGATAAAATTCAATCTAGATCTATTAATGAGAAGTAATCTATAATTGTGAGATAATTTATATCTACAATTAAACAAACACGTATAAATAATCGTATTTCATTTTATATGATACAATAATTGAACGAAAACAAGTTGTACATTTTGAAATTCGTTTATCTGTTTCATGCACAAATGAATATACATAATTATTAAATGGAATTTATTACTATCAAAAGGATAGTGAAATTCACGATGAAATTCTATCGAGAACTACCGATGCAAGAGAAACCATAAATAGGATAATTCCACCATAACCAAACAACGAATATTACCGTGCATATTCTGTCTTAAGTAATATCTTTACCAATACAAACAACATTTCAATAGTATTTCTCTCTATCTCCATTTCTATCTATCTTTCCTCTACAACACACGAACACACATTTGTATATATATATACATAGATATCAATTATCGGTTTCCCATGCATACTCGAAATTGTATTTGTTAGCATCGAAAATAGAGAAATTCTGTCGATGAAATTTCATCGAGATCAACTAATGAGAGAGAAACCATTAATGCGATAGTTTACCATGTTCAAACAACGAGTATTACTAAGTGTATTCATGTATTAGTATAGTTTCACATCGTAGAAATAATTGATTATGTATACACGAAATAATATATATATGTATATGCGTGTATATCCTTATGGAAAATATTCTTAGAGAAGAAAATGAATTATCGAATGTTTTTATGAAATAGATCATTTTATCTAACGTAAAAAGATTAAGTACATGTTTCCTTTACATTAATAAAATATATATACACACTTATACTTGATCTTATGTAACATAAGTGAATGCGAGATGTGTGTGTGTGTGTGTTTGTATGTGAGAAAGAAAGAAGAGAGAGAGAGAGAGAGAGAGAGAAATAGATAATCGTTGTAATCGTCTAATGTAGAAATTGAAATTCGCTAATCAATGAATTCAGAGAATATATTCACACAATCGTGTTTCAAATATTGTTCCATAACGAGAACAAGCTTCCTTTCGCAAACAACTTAATGAGATAGCTTCTCAGTTCTATTCGATTTAACAAGAATCAAAGCCCGACAACAGCTATGTATCGTGTCTGCAAATTTGCGATTAATATGTCTAGTATTATTATAAGATTCTACAATTTATTATATCATCAAACAAATTTGAATTGTATTTAATAACATTGATGGAGTGTTGATTAAAAAAATTGTATTGTATTATAATAGTTACGCTATGAAATAATGATAGCATTGATTGACGTATGTTGATATGCACACAAATGCATTAAATATATTTGATAAAAATTTATTATTCTGAAATATCATGACACTTTTAAATATTCGGAAAAAACATTAACTTAATGATAGAATATCGATGTAAAAATTGTATAAAAATATTTATACTATAATAACAATGATAACATTGATTGATTTCAATTAATATGTACGTATGTATAAAGTGAATCGATATTGGAAATACATGCTGAACACATGTCGGTGCTCGGTGCTAAATTTCTAATAAAATATTGTAATCCTGATAAATCCATATCTCTATTAAGTGTTATAAAAATAATATCAATTTAACTATAGATTATTGATAAAAATAATTTGTCAATAATGTTTCTACGGTAAATTAATAATAATAATAATAGACAGAGAGATTGATAAAATAATTATTGATTGAAATGAAATCTTTTGAGTAAGATATACGTGGAAAATTTATTAATATCGGAACACATGCGAATATATATGCGTACGTAATAGAGCCGACAGGTGTATCTGACATTTATTGGGCAGCTAACGTGTATTTAATCAGTCTTGGAATTGGATATCTTCCTGAATAAGCTCGATCTTGAAATTCGTGAAGCATGGTTAGGAATCACAGTGAGTGTGTGTGTGTGTTCAAGAACGTTTGAATTTGCACATTTCGCGGTATGTACAATCGTCGTGCATCGTAGTTGCACTAACAGCAATAGCAATAGCAACGGCAACAGCAGTTAAACGAAGAAACAAGTTTAACACTGTACACGCGTTCTAGGTTATTCTCTAGCCTAGGAAATTCGTACCTATGTATAATTACACGTCTGATTAAACATTATAATTGGAAGTCCGCTGAGATGTAGAATCGTCCGAAACAACGGATTTCCTCGAGCACGATGGGGGCTACATACAAGCATATGACTCTGTGTCACACGTGTGTTCAACATAGACACTAATACATCTATGCAAAGGATCTCAAGAGAATCCAAATACGCGTCGAGTTTACATTTTCCGCTAACTAGTATTCTTGACAAACTTTCCACAACGTTACAAATTTAAAAAAAAAAAAAAAAAAAGAAAAAGAAAGAAATACAACGATTTAAAAAAAAAAAATAAAAAACATTGAAAATCAAATTTAACAAAAAAAGATTAATTCTATCCCTAAGTTCGATCTTTCTCTTAATTTTTTTCTTTACAATTTATCTCCCATTTATTTCTATTCTTTTTCTTTTTTTGTTCAAATTTTATTTCGTAATAATATAAAAGAAAAAGGCTTTCCAATTTGATTTTTAATTTATGTCGATTTTCGAACAAAGGAGTGTTCACTTTTTCCAATTGGCCAATATGAATCTCTCCTCTATACGAGAATATCAAACACACTCGACGCACATATCTCAATAATTCTGTTTGCAGAACTCCCGTTTTCACGTTGATGGATGTAACGAATACTCAACTTTATTCTATTTACCCTTCTCGCTAAATAAATGTTATTTCGATAATATATCGAGTACGTTAGAATATTAGACAAAATAGACAAATCAAAAATCTATGATTATATTTTATTGTAAAAAAACAAAACAATTATATAATCCTATTAGCGATATTAGTTAATTATAACGATTTGAGGATATAATATATACTGTAATTTCTTTTATACCTTTTTTATGATTAATAATTAAATTTTATATAAATTATTATAGATTATCGTAAAATAAAAAATTGTATGTTTAAAGAAAAATTATATTAACTTATTAACGTGAAATCTTAAAGACAAGAGATTGAAAAGGAATCGTATGATTTATTCGCACTTAAATCAAATAATCAAAATTGAGTGGTGGTTTTCCCATCATGGTTCGTTAGAAATTAACAAATTATGGCATGGGTACAAAGGCAATCGTTTTGGCCCGATGACTTCGGCAAACCACACGTACTCTCTCGGAACATGACAGGAAATCCAATTGAATAGAGAGCTGTGATTAGCGAATGGAAATGGTTCGTATGCATAGCAAACACCCTTCAACCGGTACTATCTCTATGGGAACTCGTTATAGATTCAATGCTAACCGAGAGAGAGAGAGAGAGAGAGAGAGAGAGAAAGAGAAAGAACTTTCACATGCATGGACCTTTTTGCTGTGAAAACTTTCCACCGCTTGATGTTTTCCTCGAATAAAAACTTCAAATTCGTTAAATCGAATACGCTGCGTAGTCGTTTATAACCATGACGTTTACGATATCCCATGAAATACAAGAAAAATATATTCCATTAGATTAAATTTTATTTATATTTTATAAATAAATTGACACCAATTGTGCGTATTATTTCTAAACGTATAACAATTGAACCGTTATCATTGATAAACCCGTTTGAATGATGTCGAACCATCAAAAATGTAACTTACGAATCACAGATGAGAAAGTTTTTCTTCCAAATGTTTCAATATCGCTCTATACTAGCGCGTTTTCGATATTTATCTTGTTCTTTTCGCGGAACCACTTCGTTATCGTTACATGCAGTGACTGTGTACAATTTAATTTATCAATTTCAACGGCTAACTATGTAGTACACGTTACCTATCTTTCTCTACAGTTTCATTATTTCTCTCTCTCTCTCTCTCTCTCTCTCTCTCTCTCTCTCTCTTTCTTTCTTTCTTTCACGCGGGCACGCTCACGTTTGCACGTTCTTTCACCCATTCAATGGGAAAAATTATTCTACCGTGGTTTCGTTTACAATGAAATAAAATGCAGGCGTGCCAGTTATGCGCAGATCTCTCTTTATCTCTCTCTCTCTCTCTCTCTCTCTCTCTCTCCGTAATTTTCAATTAATATCACAAAACACGTAACAATGCTGTCGCTCGTAAACAACCTTATCGTACGTACGAGAATTAACCGTAAAAACGCGTAAAAGATATTACAATTATTTTTCTATAATAATATCATTTTGTGATATTCAATATATTCTAGTTTTTTTTTTTTTAAGATTACATAGAAATATAAATATCGAAAATATTTGTAACTCTTGTATCGAAATGGAAATTAATTATTGTTTTTTTATTTTGTGTTTCAGAAAAAAGACGAAGAGAATGGAGCAAGTTCCTGAAGGTTGAGTGAGGACGATATTGTATTAAAGGAAGAAAGATTGAAAGAAAGAAAGAGAGAGAGAGAGAAAGAGTGAGAGAGAGAGAAAACACGAATGAGAGGATCATCGATAATGACAAGTTGGATAATGCAGCCGAACGCTTCAATTCTCGGCATAATCGCCATCATTTTCATCATGATCACTGCCACGGCATCAGGTATACATTTAATTTGAATTTTGGAATAAAAATAATTTGATCGTTATCCGTTAATTGTTTCCAAATTATTATACAATTTTATTTACGTAGCTACCTTATATATGTATGTATATCTGCTCCACACACACACACACACACACAATTTAATTTTATTATTAATATTTATATTATATTTATCATATGAGAGAATTACCGCTAACGTTTGATTTTTAATTCGCGATTTTCAAAATGTATCGTAAATAATTTTTCTTTTAACGATCGCAACATTTAATATCGTCGAATAATTTTGTGTACATAACTTTTTATTATCGGATTTCTTTTACGCGTACAATTTTAATTTTATTAACAAATTCGTTGATACTCAGTGTCCGAGAGAAATTGTTATTCATAATTTTCATATTTATATTGCACGTATTTATTTATTTTTTTTTTCTTCTTTTTCTTTTTTTTTTGAGAGAGAGAGAGAGAGAGAGAAGGGAGAAGAAGAGCTTATATCTCATCTAAAATCAAAGAGCATAAACGGTTAAAATCTCTAATAACAGATCCAGCCAGAAATTCCGCATGATTCTTGGAATTAACACGAACAGATACAAGAGAGAGAAAACACATTGTAGAATCTCGCATAATAGTAGACTTTCTCGAAATTGTCCTTTCTCACGTTTTGATAATCCTGTACGTTGTTAGAGCATTTACGTGTTTAAGCGTTTCCAAGAGAGTTCCAGGTAAACACATGCTTGCACTCGAAGCTTATTGCTTAACACGTTAAACGTTTATATTATATATTCTTTATTCGAATTTAATTCGTATGACTTATTTTTAATATCATATAGTTTTTCATTTATACATATTTTTTTCGTAATAAAATATTCTAACTCCAAGTTATAACTCGAAGTTTATCTCGTTCGAATCAATTGTTTTTTTTTAATCATTTTCGTTATACGCGAAACAATTGCATATTTATTTTATTTACGTAAAATATATTTATATATTCAAAAGATTTGTTAATAAACGTATTGTCAAATTTTAAGCGAAACGAAATAATTGTCAAACAAAATTTGATCTTTAAAATCATTTACAAAACTTTTGACATGACTCACGTCTAACGTATTGTTTTACTTAATTAAATTTAAATTATTCTGTGATACGTGAAATAAATCAAATTTATATTCTTTAACAACGTGCAATATATTTTAAAGAAATTGAACATATGTATCAACAAATTTTACGTAACGAGGGATATAATTATTAACATAAATGATTTTATTTTTAAAATCATTGAAAAATTATGGACAAACGTTTATTCCTTCGATTTAATTTAGATTATTCTGCAATAAAAAAAAAAATATAAGATTAATTTATTATAAATGTTAAATATATTCGTAAGAATACGAATAGATGTAGCCACAAAATTTAACGTCTGATTTCACATTAAAGCAAACACACAATTTTTCAAAAAAATTTTACATTTTCCAGAAACACGTTAACTTGATATGCCTCTTTTATATGTTATATCTTCTCATCGTCCAAGTCATTCCCAATGGAGAATAAAAAGAGAGAGAGAGAAAGAAAGAAAGATGAAGAAAAAGATATGGAACATTGTAGAAACAGGCGGAACGTTATTAGTACTCGTCCGATACATTCCCTTTTCGCATACACTTTAACTAGTCTCGTTTTATCTCCATCGTACTGTCCATTTTCGTCATTTAATGCAGTTCCGAGAGAATCCAACTATACACATATATATATATAAAACATGTACACTACCAGTCAAAAGTTTGAAAATCCCAACGTTAAATTCCAAGAGAAACAGAGGATATTTACAAAAAAAAAAATAAGAAGAATGAATACAACTTCATACGAACCAAGGTAAATTTATTTGTCACAAACAACACACGAATATGACGTTTTACACTTTCCATTATTTTTTTGTATTTACGAACCAATGTATTTTCGTCCTTTCAAACGAATTTCCTTTTCAATCAAAAATAAATATACCACATTTATTTTTTTAATAACAGTCTGTCATATTTCGCGCGTATCCTAATACAATGAATTTTTCAAATATTTTTCTATGCTTCTTACGGAAGTTTATTCTGAGTATTTTATATATTTCAGAATGATTATATTGAATAATTATTCATAATTTTGACAAAAATCAACAAGGAATTACAAACTTTTGTACGAAAGTGTATATGTAACTTAGAATCAGGAGTATCTATACACTAATTTCCTCCCCCGTCCCCGTTCCCATCCCCTCTTTCTCATTCTATCTTTCTCTCCGTCCGTCTGTCAGTCTTTCTCTTTATCTTTCTCTTATTTCTACGAAAAACCTAATTCTTCGTCGTACGTAGCAGCGAGTAACGCTTGTAATTCGTTCCCTCTCATTCTCATTTAAAACTCCCAGTAACCTCATCTTCACGTTCATTTACATCGTCCGTGATTTCGAAAGTATCCTACTTGCCGCGATTCAACTCAACTTTATCTACCAACGTTACATTTCTCTCGGATTTATTCTTATCTCATTTATTTTACACTTTGATATTCTCTTTTGACGCATTGTCGTTAATATTAATAAAAAGTTATTTGTTATATTATCTGCGTGTGATTTTATTTATTCATTTTTTTTCTGTTCTTTTTATTACGATAATAATATTTTCGCGTGTTGAAAAAAAAGAAGAGTATTAAATTATTAATTTCATTATAAGAATTATTATCTACATAATATAATATACTGATGTGATAAATCAAAAAAATATGAAATAACAAATAATCATATAGACATTTCGTTTATTATAATATAATTAATGTGAAAATATACTTTATCTATATCGTAAATATTTTTCAACGGATTTTCTTCTTACACAAAATAAAAAACCGATTCATATTTAATTATTAATCGACAAGAGCAATGAATATAAATCATTGTTATATATATATATGAATTAAAAAACATTTTACTCAATTTAAAGTTATTGTCATTCCAATTACGTAACAACGAGATGTTTTAACACATTCAACTATGCACATACACATGTACATACGTATACACGTATACCCAAGTAACGTAATACAACTAATAATAGTTTACAATACCTATATTATCAAGTAAACTTGAGACAAGAACGGAACAGATCTTTTCGGATATCGTGAATTTTAGGAAGGTAGAACGTTTGCTTGTGTCTCCGTTCGTTCAACCCTCATCCCTTCGTCCCTGCATCCCTGCATCCTTGCATCCCTTCTTCCCCCACCTCCCCACACCCTCCCATCTTCGAATCTCCTATCTCATTTCTCCCTGCGGAATATCCTTGGCAAACTTTCATCGAACTATACGAACAACGAAATTATTATACGAGCTTGCTCGAGAACAAAACGATCGATCGGTATGCTGCTAGCTACACGCTTCACTGTATATTACCGACAACCTCCTTCTGCTTTTCATCGAGACGAATAACTACTTTTACTCCCTTTCCATTTTTTTTTCTTTCCATCGTTCAAGCCCCCACACCATATCATCTCTCTTTTTCATCCTTCATTTTGTCTTCTTCTTATACTTTTTCTTTTTATCCCAATCTACACCACTTTTCCACGTCTAAACGCATTTAAACCCCTGAAATTTATTTAATTAAAAGAATAATTGCAAATTTTTGTGAAATGTTTGAAAAGTAATTAGAAAATTATTACGAATTGATTAAGAAATGAAATATTATTAAAATAATATTTTATAATATTATACAATTTTTTTTTATATAATTATTTTATATGTAACGAAAAAAAAACATTCTTTATTATTATTTTATAATGGTATATATATAAATTATTGAAAGTAATTAATAAAAATTAATTCGTGTGAGGGTTGTTGGGAAACATCCCTGTTCTATATATTAATATAACGTACAAGGCTCATGCATATTCAAAAGTAAAGCAAATACGTCAATTAATTCGTTTCTTTTTTTTTCTTTTTATTAAAAGTATGTTCTTGCAGGTTTCAATAGTTCAAAATGGGATAACGTTAAACTTGCTAATTGTTTCAATATATTTACATATTTATACTTGATTGGTTAAAAATTCAAAATATATTTTTCTCAAGTGATTACTATAATCCTCATATTAGATGCTTATCATTTCAAGCAAATACATTTCGTCATCGGTAAATATCCCCATGCAAAGGTTAGTATGTCGTGGATTCACGTGTTAGATTAATCCCATTTCAATCGATCCCGAAGTCATGTTAAATATTACATAACCAACGACAACGATAATTCTCGATCCTTTGAGCTTCGCATAGCAGGGATTTGAAATGATTTTGATCCTAGTTTCGATTAAATTCTATTCATGCGATTAAGTATATACGTTTAGTATGTTTGCTTAAATCCATTTGCGTTAAGAATATTTATCAGACCACCGTGTTACTGTTATAGAATAAATTAAAGTTTCTCAAGATAATATATTTATCAATATTTCCAATGCATACAAATTTTAATATAATCGTTCATTTGATTTATTATTTAATTTTTTATTAATCCTCGAATATATATATATATATAAAAATTTAAAAATGAAAATAATTTTTCGAAAAAACAATTTCAATGATTTATATTTCAAGATTTAATTGTAAATATATAATAATAATTCATAAGTATTGAATAACGTATATATCTCAATGGATAAACAAAAAAATAGGTTTCATTTACGAGAGTAATTTCCTTGTTTGAATGGACAACGTTAATAAAGATTGGCTCGATCATCATTCAGAAATCCTATCTTTTAGGAGAAACATTAGAATTCAGACATACACGATATTATTCACTCGCGTAAATAGCTTGGCCATTGCCAAATATGGTCCTATATATCAGTGAGTCGATGAACGGTGTCGGCTACAAGGACGATCACGTGCGATGATCCTTGATGCGAATCCTGTATTTTAGATGTGCTAATTTACGTTTCGAATAACGTTTCCTAAAATATTTTCCAATCTAAATTATGTTCCGTTAATTCATTAG